ACGGGCAGGACGGCAGCACCACGCGGCACAGCGCGGCCAGGCGGGCACCGCGGCAGGGGCGAGAGGAAAAGAGCGTCTCATCGTTTCAGAGTGAGAACTGACAAGTCCAGGTTTACGCACGTATGAGTCACCCCTAAAATTATTCGCAGCTGAACGCGAGGACCTGAGACCTGAGAGCAGCCCACTAGCAGGAGGGGTGCAACTGCTGTCTGCCCGTGCACTGCCCTGGTAGTGCCAGGCCTTCTCCTCTTCTCACCGAAGTGAAAAATAGGGCTGTTCCTGAGGACAGCGGGAGCATTAGCTGGCCCTAATACCTGTGGCCAGGAGAACAGATATACAACCTGGACTAGCATTAAGGGCTTTTAAAATATCTATGTGTTCTAGGAGCTCTAAATTACCGTTTCTTAACTTTGGAGTAAAATCTAGTGCTATAAAACACACTGATTTCTCATATATTTATCTGCCACTGAATGACGTTTGATGTGAAAGGTGAGAACGGGAGGAAGACAATAATGTTTCACAACCACAGAATCCAATTTTAAAGAAAAGAATCACACTTTTGACTAACTATATATTCACTGGTGTATATAATTTGGTAGTACGTTACATCTCCCTTTGGAATGCAGCACTGTGATTAGAGGAACAAAAATAGCAAATGTGCAGAACTGACAATGATTGATGTAACCGAATCAATAAAGAGAACTTCAGCCGTCTGCTATGTCAAACTAGTAAAGTGCTAAGTTTCAGATCTCAGAAGTATTTCTTTAGCTCTTGCAAATTAAGAGCCTAATTTCTTTACACTTACTTTAGCTGTATCCACATGACTTGTGTGGAGATACACCTGATTAATTTTAAGGACACAAGTAACCACCTCATTTTCGCTCAAACTTGAGCATTCTGTGTATTCGAGGATATAATATTTAACACGCTTCTCACCCCTACCCATTTTTAAGAGACGGTGCAATGTGCTCTTAAAGCCTCGTGCCTGGAGGAGAAGGGAGGACCTGGACTCACATCTGAGAAGAGGACTCTGAAGAGGACGGTCACTCTTCCCACTGCGCCCCTTCCCTGCCAAGTCCTGGCTGCTCCCGCGGGCCAGGCGCAGCCTGAGCGCCATGGCTCCCATCCCAGCGCCAGCGGGGCAGCTGGGAAGGCAGCCAGGGCCACAGCCAAACAAGCAAGTCAGCAGAAACTTGTTGGCTGGGGATCAACTTGCAGCACTTTGCAGGTGCAGTCGGAAAAGCTGGAGCTGCCTGGCATGGGTGGCAGGGCTG